TAGAAAGCAGATAAAAGAATTGGGTATACAACCAAAAAAACCCCAGAAAAACAAATTTAAAAACCCTAATTAAACACCAAAATATAAATCCTGAAAATCAAAGGGGGAGATTAACAAAACTGAAAGTAAAAAACTAATGAACTAATAACCAGAAGCTGGTTTTTGATTGGCTAATTTGATTTTAAAAAAGGAAAAAAGAAAACCAAATTATCAGTATCCAAAAATGAAAAAGGTGAATTAACACCAATGAATAAGAAACAAAAGCAATTGTTAGGCACAATTTTGCCTAACTATAAGCCAAGAAATTGTCAATTTTAATGAAATGGATAAATATTTACAAAAATATAAATTGCCCATATTAACAAAAGTAGAAATAAAATACTTAAATAACCCTACTTCAGAAAAAAAGAAATTGAACGATCCATAAATGAACTCCCTAAAAAAAACCAACCTCAGTACCAGTTGGATATACAAGCAAATTCTACCAAACATTTAAAGAATTAATTCCAATAACATATAAACCATTTAAAAAAAAATTGGTAAAGAAGTTCTATCAAATTCCTTCCTTGACGCAGATACGGTCCCGATACCTAATCCGGGGATAATCAAAACAGAAAAAGAAAGCTATAGACCAATTTCTCTAATGAATATCACTGCAAAACTTTTAAATAAAATACTATAAAGGGGATTATAGAGAAAAATAACAAAGATCTAACATCATGACCAGGTTGGATTTGCACTAGGAATGCATAGCTGGTTCAATATTAGGAAACTTTAATTGACAATACTGACAACCCCCCCCCAAAAAAAAACCCAAGTCATATGATTATTTTAATATAGAAATGTAATAGATATAGAAATATATTTTTGACAAAATATAACACTCATTCTTACTGGTTGGTTGGTTGGTTGTTGTTCTTTGCTCTCAAAGAGGGCCAAAATGACATCACTATATTAGAGTCAAGTTACAGTGTGTCTGACCAATATGAACTTGGAATGCTCTACCACAGGTCAGGCACAAATAGCTCATGTGAACATTTGGACTGGTTTCTCTAAATTTGTACATCTCATGCTTCTTTTGAGCTGCTGCAGTTCTACTTTGCTCATAGATCACAGCCCCTTCTTTCATGTGGACTTGGCATACTGGGTGGTCCTTTGCCAGTGTCTCCCAATGTCACACAATCAATTTTTCAGAGAGACTTTGAAAAGTGCCCTTGTTATCACTTCTTCTGATCACCATGTGAGCGCCTTCTTTGTGTGAGTTCTCTATAAAGTAATCTTTTAGAAAGCATGGGAATAAATGAAGATTTCCTAAAAATGCTAAGTTGTATCTATCTAAAAACCAACTGTAAGCATTATCTATAATATGGATAAACTAGAAGCCTTTCCTGTAAGATTAGAGATGAAGCAAGGATGTCTATTATCACCACAACTATTCAATATTGTATTAGAAATGCTAGCTATAGTTATAAGACATGAAAATGAAATTAAAAGAATAAACATAGACAATGAGGGGAAAAAACTATCACTTTTTACAGATAATACGGTGCTTTACTGGGAGAACCCTAGAGAGTTCATTAAAAAACTAATTGAAACAATAATTTCTGCAAAGTTACAGAATATAAAATAAATACACCAATAAACAATATTACCAACAAAACCCAGTAGGAAGAAGTAGAAATTCCATTTAAAATAATTAGACAGTATAAAGTATTTGAGAGTCTGCCTGTCAATATATACACAGATGAATTATATGAACACAATTACAAAACATTCCACACAACTAAATAATTGGAGAAATATTAATTGCTCATGAATAAGCCGAGCCAATGTAATAAAATGACAATACTACTTAAATTAATTTATTCAGTACCATGTGTAAGGAAAATACCTTATTATTTATTGTTTGAACTTAGCTTTGTTGTTCAGTAGTTTCAGTTGTGTCTGACTCTTCATGACCCAATTTAGAAAGGTTTTCTTGGCAGATACTAGAGAGGTTTGCCATTTCCTTCTCCAGCTCATTGTCCAAAAGATGAACTGAGGCAAACAGAATTAAGTGACTTGCTCAGGGTCACACAGCTAGTAAGTGTCTGAGGCCACATTTGAACTGAGGTTCCCCTGACTCCAGGGCTGGCATTCTATTCACTGTACCATCTAGCAGCCCATGAAACTAGCTTTATGTGGCTAAAAATCGTCTAGTCTGGACATGCTGACCTCAAAGATGTTTCAGCAAAGGAGGGTGCTGTTTTTTGGATCAACCCAAAACACTTGTTTTCAGTTAGCCTACCCAGGTCTTGGGTCCAACCAAAAAGCTTGTATTTTTACTTTGCCCAAATTTTACTGAATGTTTAGATTTACCTTTTGATACACATTTCAAGCAACCTTACCTGGAAACTGTCCTTTTCTGGAAAATATCTAACTTCCTACACATGAGCCAACTAGCTATGTGTCCTTAATGCCCTTGTTTGAATTATATGTGAAACTTGTAGAGACTCCAGAGGGAGTCACACCTTTTTTTTTTTTTTTTTTTTTTTTCTGGCTCTTTCCTGTGCTCAACCAATTTAATAAAATTCTTTCTAAAAAGTTTTTTAGGTTTGGGGTTTGCTCTCAACAAACAATTTTGGTGTCAGAAGTGAGATTTCTAACAGTCTACCACGAATGGAAGGATGACCAATATGGGATCAAATTAGGCATTGTAACATAACTATTGTGGAAACGTGTTTAATATGACTGTACATGCATAGCCTATATTAGATTACATGCTGCCTTGGGGAAGGGAAAGTGGGGAAAATTTGGAATTCAACACCTTGTAAAAGTGAATGTTGAAAACTAAAATTAAATAAAAAATAAGGTGAAAACAATTGGGCATTGTAAGACCCTGGTGAATACTCAGACTGGTACTTGGGTGGGTTGAGAACTAGCCTGGATACCCTTATCAGCAAATTAGTAGTTTTCTTGCATTTTTTTGGTTTGTTTTTATGCATGACTAATGTTGAAATGTGATTTGTATGTCATATTTGTATAGGGTTTTGTTTTTCTTGCCTTTTCAATGGAATATGGAAAAGAAGAGGAATTTGGAACTGAAAATAAAATAGAATTTTAAAAAATGACATAGGATTTTATATTTGATTCTGGAGTTATCAGAGAACAGCTGGAATTTATTAATGGGTTAACACAGACCTACATTTTAAGAATAACACTTTGGTAGTTGAGTGGAGGATGGAGAGAGTAGAGACCTATTAGAACACTATAGCAACAGTCTGGGTGAGAGCAGCCATCAGGCTTCTGAGCAATCTCAAAGCCTCTGGCCTTTTACAAGTATCTCAAACTACAATCATACTGTCAAATACACACTCACATATATATATATGTATAATATACATACATGTATACATACATAAGTGTATAGATGCATTTATCTATCCATTCCCTTTCCTAGTTCCAAACTGAACTCAGCAAGGGAGCAGGACCTATATCTGACTCTGTCTGGAGGACCGAGCTTTTGGGCCTTCGAGGGAACCTTGGAGTCTATCAATTCCAGCTTCCTCATTTTACAGATGAGGAACTGAAGTCTAAAGGAGTGAAGTGACTTCACAGTTGTGAAGCGATGGAGCCAGAGTTCAAACTCAGGACCGCTAAATTTCTACATACCACAATGCCTTTCAGTTTTTTTTTTACTTCATCTTCTGCAACAAATGGTAATACGTTGGCTTGAATCATCTTCATTGTGGTCTTTTTTTTATGCATGCTCATCACGAGCACTGACTGCAAAGGCAATATGACCAAAGGGCCCATGAAATGCTGTTTCATTTAGATGTTCAATGAAATGAACTTGTCTGACTTTTACTTTTCTCTCCTAAGGAAACTTGTGAGGCTCCCCTTCCATTCAGTCGCAATTTTAAAAAATGTCATCTTATTAAAGTGATGAATGAATGAATTTAAAAAGCATTTACTAAATATTTAAGGCAAATATTAAATATTTACAAATATCTGCTAGGCATTGTGCTGATTACTGGAGAGACAGATACAAGAGCAAGACAGTCCCTGCCCTCAAGGAACCTACATTCTAATGGGGAAAACAACACACACACAATGAAGTGGTGGACAGGAAAGAGTACTGGCCTGTAAGGTCACTGGATTGGTCTGTGGCACAAAAAGGCATCTGATAATGACTTTCCAGAATCAATGGTAGTGTTCATTCAATTACAGTTCCTAGAGCAAGGGAAAGCAAGGGAAAGCTATGTATAGATACAGGGTAGAAGGCTGGAAAATGGCTGGAGTAAAAAAGTATGGCTGGATCTGGGCCTGCCTGATATAGTGAAGTCTCACCAATCAGGACACCCTCACCCCCTCCAATAGTGTACAATTTCACGAAGCTATTCTAAAGCTTGTAAACTTAATGAAGATTTCACATTTGGAACATCAACAGCTAAACTAATGTTTCTATATTGCTGATAGATATAGATTGTTTTATTCTTAGGACACACCCTTTCCCACCACTTTGCTACCAGCACTACAGAAACAGAATAGGACTACAAAGGACAGAAGGACATTATCTATGTTTTTTTGTTGGTTTAATCAGCTGCTGCAGCTAAATAATTCAGGTAATCAGCCTATGTGATTTTTGGCTAGGACTTTAGTACTGGACAATAGGCTGAGTCTGAGGCTGGGACCATGCTCAAATTCTTTCCAGTTTGATAGACTCTAACTGTGTTTTGCCCACCCTAGATCTATCCTAATGAGGCATCAAAGTAGGGTTTTTGTTGAAGATGGTCATCACATATTTTTAAAAGCTGATTAAAGACATATACCTGCATATACACATATAATGACTTGCTCTGACTCCACTCTAATAAAAATACAGATCAAAGAAATTTTGAATAACAGAAACCAGTGAATTTATCAAGTACAAATTTCTTTAATGATTAGCATAAATTGAAAAACATTGTTTACACAATCATGCAAAACTACTTTTTGAGGTCAAAATTTAAAATAAATTATATTAACTTAATAAGTAAAAGGTCTTTCAGGAAAACAGCATTCAACAAAGTAAAATATTATGAAGTATTTGTTAAACTAATGTTATCTCTTCTGAGGGTTTAATTTTCTTACATGGGTCCAAGTATTTTGGAAGAAAGTTATGCATAAACATGACAGCCAATTTTATACATGCAGCTATGGCCACTCTCATCAAATGTAGAAGGAAACCCACAAAAACGAAATTTCAAAGAATACAATAAGGTTTGGGTTAAATTTCTTCACAATTTTAATTTGCTTATCACCACAAGGCTGTTTCAAACTACTGGCAAGAGGCAAGTATCTCCTCTATTCTGAGTATAACTTGGGGTTTGGGGGGAAAATTCTCTCAAAGGGAAAGGTTAGCAGCCTCATTATTATAACTGCTTGCAGAGCTTGCATAGGCTCCGTCTATGTCCAAGGGGAGAAAAAAAGTGAACTGTTTTCATAATAGCTTTGTAAAGTTCACTTACCCCAGTGCTATAAATTTAGTAAAATGGCAGTGACAAAGCACAGACAGACATTCTTAAGTGCCCTTGTTATAGAACGTGCTGGGGAAAGCTATGTAAGCAAAAATGGTGACTTTGAAAGAAATAAAAAAGCATTATCCCAACACTTCAAATGCTGCCATTCATATCATCCCTTATCTCTCCTGTATCATGGTTCTAGTAACTATTTCAAATATCTATGTGGATAGTTTTTCAGGCTAGAAATGCCTAAAAAGGACCATTATAATAGTACATTTCAAAGAGGCTACAGGAGTTATCTCTTGCTCTGGCAATTCTGCCAGGGAGTAGGAAGGGACAGGAGGTAGTGTGCCCCAGGTTGAACAAGACTGTAGATGACTAGCAAACAGCACAGAGTTTTACCAGTTGACAGCGTCTGCTTACATCATTACCTCTAGTACTGCTGGCATTTATGTGTTTTTGTTTGGTGTCAGACACAGTAGTATGATTAGAATGGAGAAAAATTATATATGCTTGAAGGTCAAACTAGATTATTTGGTATCACAAAAATACTCAATGCAATTGATGGCAATGCATATGTAAAAACTTAGTGTGTTGAAAAATGACTTTTTGCATAATCAATCTGCTTCTAAATCAGAATATAGTTATATTTTCAATATAAATTATAGTGAAAGAAAAATTTCAGTTAAGCTGATCAAGAAACTTTTGAATGGCAGTTTGTCAACATAACATCAAAATACTTTAGTGTAAATCTTACCAAATATAAGGTATATATTCAAAAAGGTGGTTTTATTTTGTAAGGGTTAAGCATATTTTAAAAAAAACTGTCATGTCACTGTGGAAGTAATTCATTTTTAGTAGAGAATTATGGAATTTATAAACATAAGGAGGTTCAGTTATAAAAAAGTCTAAAAATCCAAATGAACAATTACTGTATTGGACCAAATATTGGCTACTCCTGGATACAAGCTGTATCCCTCCTTTTTTTCCTTTCAAAGAGATCTATAGCTGAATGTTAGGGGAAAAATTACCAACTACACTCAGGTTTTTATACAAGCCATATTTGGAGGGAGAGTGTGGCCTATATTTGGACCAACACAGAATAGAAAAAGTCCATTCATAAAATGGATTTAGGTACACTGGAGCTGGAAGACAGAACAATAAAACCAAGATTGATCTAGGAAAAAAATAGTTGTGGTGATTCCTATTTTTTCTGAAGTACTTTTTTTTCCTTTTTAAAATTTGGCACATTATTTATCCCACATGCTACTGCAGAGATAGGAGCAAGATTACTTTAGTTGTTGAAGAATCACAGTGTTAAGTATATCTGCTTCTTGAAGTGTCAGGCTTTCATCAGTTAGCTCTTTGTTTGGAAACGATGTAACAAGAACAAAGCCAAGAGTTGCAAATTCAGGGCGGGACTGTACAATAAATTCTCGGACATCCACGATCCTGAAGAAAGGACATCATAGTAAGTTATGGTTGAAAAAGATCTGTTTATTCTAAAGAGGTTGAGGATACTTGAAAACAGAATTATAAACATTCCCCAATAATCCTGTTTCTAATTTTCACTATGCAGATTTGTTTTCTTAAAAAAAAAAAAAAAGCAATGTTCAAACCAGTCTCTTTTAGGTTGATCACAAATTCCCAAATAGTGAAGTTCAAAATGAATAAGGGTTACATTATCAAATAATGGTTTTCAGAAAAATTCAGATATTTATAATTTCTATACATTCACTCATCAATAACGCTGCTATATATTCCAGCTCTTGTGTTTTAGAATCAGTGGGACACTGTGCTTTCTGCTTTGATTTATTTTTGTATGAATATTCAGATGCAGAAAAATACTTGTCATGTGAAACCTTCTCACATTTAAGGACACTTTTGAAAATATTCAGTGAAAAATGAAAAATAAAAGTACATATCCAAACCATTTATGTTTCTATACTATTAAAGTCACTTATTATTTTGTATAATTTTAAACCAGATGGCATAATATATGCTTATTGTAACTGATAATTTGAAAGTACAGTATTAGCTTACCTATGTGTGTGGTTGAATCTTTGTATCAACCGGCTTCCATCTGCTAACCTGATTTGAATTTTTGTTGTTGGCACTGAATCATCAACAAGAACAACTGCATTTACTATTGACTTTTCCTCCTCTTCAGGGGAAGAAGGTGTACTGACTATTTCAGGTGTAAGACTAGGAGAAGGCAGAAAATAAAAAGAATTCCAAACCAGAATTTGCAAAAAAAAACCCCAAAAAACAAAAAAAACAACCCAGTGTTTTAGCAAAAATATAGTTAAATAAAACACTAACACAGCAATAGAGATGATTCAACTTTTCTCCCATCTACAATAGTAACTGATGATTTTCAATTATTCCCCCCAGTGGAAGCCGTCAGGAACACTCCAACTTTTGAGTTTGCTATGCTTTTCACTCTCATCCTAGGGTTTCAAACATGAATTTTATGTTAATTATGGTTGCCAAAACCTTTCTTTTTCTAACCTGTTAATCAGAATATTGTCTGAGTAGAGAGAGAGAAAAACGATCAACTACATGATAAAGTTTGGGAGCTATAAGCACCTTTGCCTTATTCTGTTATTTGTATAAATGTTCTAATAACATTTAAAGTAGGTATCTATTAACTCATTCTAATGCCTCATTATATTACGTACATGACCTTGAATCCTCAAGCTAATAAGCACAATTCCTAGTACATTTTGCCAATGGGGAAAATCTTGGTTATGGTCTCATAGCAGACTGTCCAGAGGAGCTGTCAAGCCTGGTCTGAAAAGGTTCATCATTAGAGGCCTGAACACAAAGGGATGATTTTTTTTCTTGCCATGGCAACCCACAGAACAAAAATATGTAGTCTAGATGGCTCTGCTTTCATGGAATTAATGGAAGAATGGCAGAGAAAGGGACGAAAGTGTTAGTAATTTAAAAGTTCCTAAGACCCTCTTCAATTATTAAATTATTGATTTCTTAATGTAATCTTTGCCCAGTGAAACTGGCTGACACACTACAGTAGGAACTAAAGCACATTTATGCTGATTATTCTTTCTATAAAAATTTGAATAATAATAGGTTTTAGCTACTTAGTACAGTTCAGAACTTCTCAAAAAGGTGAACAAATGCATTGGCTGGTATTTAATTACATGGAACTCAATTCTAACAATCATAGGATATGGAGCTGGAAAATTGGAGACGAGAAAATAAATTTTGTCTTCATAATTGTGTCTGCTTCACTTTCAACTATATACAGATGAATACACTCTCAGTATGAAGGTACAGTGATGCATATGTATTACATATTAGGAACATTCATTGAGCATAGAAAAAACAGCAGTATTTTTTCCACATGATTTGTCAAATAAAATTTTTAAAAAACGTGACTGAATTTCTTTTACGAAGACTTTCATTTCTAGAAGATCCATTAATTGAGGTATAACTATAGCACAACAGTCTGCACACGGAGAACTCAGCTATTATTTTTAATTGTATACTCTTGACTTTAGAGATTCAACACCTTAAGCCTGTAGAAACTGGTTGCTTTATTCAACTTATCCATTAGTTTTAGAACTAATTAATTCTATTAGGCTTGCATAAGTAGGACTAAGGGGCAGACATAGTTAAAAATGAGTAAAAGCGTGGGAAAACTCCAAGGGAGTAAATCCTAGTAGAACTCAATCCAACTAGTTTTAATCTTGATCAAAGTCAGGCCTTCCTATCTGTAGAGTCAATGGTACTTTAGTGCTGCCTGTCTGTCTGTCTCAGTCTTCAGGTTTTTAATGTAATGGCTTTCATAATTCAAGAACAATTTCTCACCGTTGATATTTGTTTTTTCCTCTTTCTATTCCTTTCCCTCCCAACCCTATGCTAAATATGTAAAAAATATTTTCTTCTCTCATGTTTTACCTTCCAAGTTTTTGCCCTTCTCCGCTAAAAGCCTTGAATCGCAATCTTGGTTTTATATATTCTTGCTCCTGGTGATCCTCCATGTCCAAATTCACCTGTCCACCATGGACCAGTCGCTGAAGCTCCAGAGGAATTTCACTTTGAGAGAGGGGAAAATTTAATTGATTGTTATTATAACCATTGGGGTGAAGAGGTCAAAAATGTACTAGTACAATAGCCTTAAGTAGAAGTTTTCCATAAGGAAATTACAGGTTAATAGGTTTTATTTCCTAAAGTTTTATAAATTCATTATATCATTCCAGGGGTTACCTTTAATTTTTTTGGTAGCAGAATCTTGAACAAATCACATCTGAATTTTTGTTGATGAAAGAAAATTATGATGAAATTCTGATTGATTTTTTAAAAAAATTATTTTGTGAAATAAAAATAACTCATTTCACATGTGGGCTCACTTAAATTTACATGATACTATGCAGACTTACGTTTTCCCTTTCTCTCACCATTCCTCTCCCCAGTACCAATTTTTGCTGCAGTGGGAAAGGCACTGCTTTTGCTATTCACTTGCTGAAAACAGGCACTGACCTGCCTCCAATCCCTGGCTCTGCCCCAGGCCACTAAGGCTAAAGAACAAATCCTCAGCCTTGATCCCTGGTAGCATCTGAGTGATTTGCCGATTATCACTACTTGATAATGGCAGGAGGGGTTAGGACTTAGAAAAGTAAGGACCTCTTGTAACTTGTAAATAAGCATTTTTACGTGGAGAAAGATTTAAAAAGTTTAAAGGTGAATTTAAACATGGAGTAATACAGCACTCCATTCACCTCAGTTCAAAAGCTTTTTAAACCTTCTAAGACTCATAAGACAAACTTACCTTATGTTTCATTGACAGTATTAACAAAGATTACTTGTATATTCATATTTATAAAACATCAAACAAAAATTAATAAGATTTTAAAGATAAGAACAGTGTAATTTGTAGATACATTCAGGGCTGATTATAGTACAAATGCAGATCACAAAGTTCCTGATAATTTATGGAAAAGGAATATTTCTACTGTTTGAGATCTACTGACAAATTAAAAAAACATAATGGTAAGACTTCAATACAAATAAAACAAACTTGACTAATAAAATTTTAAACTTGACTAAGCACTCAGTCTCAAAAATAATTTTAAAATATCAAGTTTTCAGTAATATATACTGCTTCTAAGTGGAAAGTGCTATAAAAATAACCAAGTGATTTTGGAACCAACTGACATAGTAAAAGATTCACTGATGCTTTTTCAGACTTTCCCATCATTCTTACCTAACTGTAAAGGGAGTGAGTAAAAGGAGGCAAGTTACAAACTTCTTAATCTCCACTGTTGATATCAGTTAACAACCTATTGTCTGGATGTCTGTGATGGCAGGTATATGTTTTATTTAAACTTTCTTTTCTCTTTAACATCTACCACAGTGCTCTGTCTATATCAGGGGCTTAATAATTATTGAGAGGTGTCATGGTGTAATGGAAAGAGTGGTTAGCATAGAGTCAGGAGGGACCTATATTCACATTCCTACTCTAATGATTCCATATTACATGACCATTGGAAAGTCATCTAACCTTTTTTGTACCTCATAATAAGGCCTATAGCACTTTCCTCTCAGGGTTATGAAGATACTAGATAACATATGCAAAATACTTTGTGACCCTTAAGATACTCTATGAGCCATTTTAATATCATCAAATGAATGAATAAATCAAAAGACAACAAGAGTTGTTATCTGCTAGTTTTCCTCATTATCTTCAACACTTTCTCAATTACTTTAGATTGGGGGGGGGTCACAATTTTCCTCTCCAACTGATTTCATTATCATATTCTGTGATATTCAGTGTCTATGTTCACAATCCTAATACCCTCGTCTCAAGATTTCTCCATCTTGAACTTTATTAACTTTTATCTCCATTTTATTTTAGACACCTACAAGCACAATAGTACCTTAAATGGCACCATCACTCAAACACATTACTGTCAGATATTTAACTCGTTAGAATGTGAACTCTTTGAGGAGGGACCATATTTCTGCCTTTCTTTATATCCCCAGCATTCAGCACAGTGCCTGGCACACAACACTCACTTAATGTTTGTTGACTGACCAAATTCTGAAATTCTCCCTGGTTATAATCAATAAACTATAAACTTCATGAAGGCAGAATCTGTTACTTTGAATTTTTATGGCCTGACATAGTAAATGTCATAGGTACTTAAACAGTGTTGAAAAAAAATCAAACCTTTTTTACTTATTACTCTCTCACACCTATCTGAATCCATTATTTACCTTCACTGAGCACTCTAGTCCCTTGACTTCTCTCCAGTCTCTCTGTCTACTATTCAATTCCTCTACTCCATCTTTATTCTAGCTTTACTTACCTTTCTATCCAGGGTAAAATTTATATTTAGCTACTTTAAAAACTCACTATCACTTGCCCTCAGATTTTTCTGCCACATCTTCCTTGCTAATTCCCAACCCTATACAGTCTCAACTTGCATCTCTCTGGCTCTGAGTCAGTGATTTAGTCTACTGCAAATTCATGCTATCTATCCTCAGCTGAGAAGCCTCAATGAAGCTTGGTAGCTTTTATTTATCTTTGATTAACTGTTTCATGTTCCCAACATCAGCTGCTACAAAGCTTTCACACTCTCCTTAGGCCTCCCAATCCCTACCTCCATGTATTCTTGGGATCTTCTGAGCATATTCTTCCTCACATAATATCCTAATGATTGATAGATCCAAAAACAAACTATTTGGATAAGGCTTCCCTATTCAACAACTACTATCAGGAAAACTGGAAAGTCATTTAGCAGAAATTAGGTTTAGATCAATGTCTTTTACACCATGAAGCATGATAAGCTCCAAACGGACTTGAAATGTAAGTATTACCAAAAACATTTCGCTAACATTGAAATTATCCCCCAAATTTCTTAAAAAAGGGAATGAAAGGAGATACTTGAATGATGACAGTTAGGAAGAAAATTCTTAACCAAACAAGGCATACGTAGAGGTGATTATAAGAAGTAAAACAAATAATTCTGGCTACTCAAATTAAAAAACTTTACACAAACAAAAGCAATTCAAATAGAATAAGAGAAACTGCTGACTGGGATAGATTGGGGTAAGTATTCAAAACAAATATCCTTGATAAAGACCAGACATCTAAGACACATAGGGAGCTGAAACAGATATATAAGAATATGAACCATTCCCCACAACATAAAGTGGCTAAAGCATATAAAGAGATAAACTACCAACAACCATGTGGAAGAATCTCCAAATCACTAAGAATTGTGAAATGAAAACTAAAACAAATCTGAGGTTTTACTTTATGCCCATCGGATTATCAAAGACGACAAAGGATTAAAAATGTTAAGTGTTGGAGGGGCTGTGGAAGCAGGTGCTCTAATTTACTGTTGGTACAGTAAAGACTGGTTCAACCATTCTGAAAAAAATGGGAAGTATACTAGACGCCACTAAACTGTACATACCATTTGACTTATCCATATCACTGGCACATAGGCCATGGAGGCCAATGACAGGAAAAAAGAAAAAAAACAACACTGAAAGTCATCATAATTCTGATCAATGCAGCTTCCAATCTTGACCTCAAAAGGAGTAACAAGTCACGACTCTTCAAGAAAGAGATGAGTCTTGTAGGCATGGAATGAGATGTCTGTCAGATGAGTTATGTCTTGATTTTATTCTGCCTAACTGTACATATAAAAGGGAAGATGGAGGGGCACATCACTAGAAAGTGACAGATGTTTTTAAAAAGAACATCAAAACATTAATGAAAGTTAATTTTTTTTAGAAAAGTATATACTACCTCTATTTCAAAATTTCACCATTATCTTCTTCACAATATTCATCTCCTTCCCTCCTGTCTCTGGGAAGAACTGTCTGTTCCATCTTTCCGCAGGCCAACTCCTCTAATTTGTACTCTTAAAAAAATTTATGTGTATATATATATATATATATATACATATGTATGTATATACACATACACACATATACATATACACACATGCCTGTATGTAGAGATGTGTGTACCCTCCCTCCAATACGAGCAGCTAGGTGGTGCAGTGGATAGAGTGCTGGGCCTGGAGTCAGGATGAAGAGACATCCTGAGTTCAAAAGTGGCCTCGGATGCTTATTAGTTGTGTGATTCTGGGCAAGTCACTTAACCCTATTGTCCTCATCTGTAAAACTGAGCTGGAGAATGGCAAACCACTCCATTATCTTTGCCAAAAAAAACCACATATGGGGTCATGAAGAATCAAGTGCGACTGAAACAACTAAACAAACAAAATACCCCACCCCAACACACCTCTATTAGGAAGTGAACATTTCATCATTAATCTTCTGAAGCTGTGGTTGGTCATTATGCTGGATCCCTAATTCTTTCAAAGTTGTTTTATCTTTGCCATATTGTTGTCATTGTATTTTCATTATTTTTCCTGGCCTAGTTTATTAGCTCTGCATCAGTTCATGTAAGTCTTCCTGGGTTTCTCTGAAACCATCTTCTTCATAATTTCTTATAATACAATAATATTCCATCACATTTATATACAATAATTTGTCTGGTCACTCTCCAACTGATGGATACCCTTTCAGATTCCCATTCTTTGCCACCTCAGAAGGAGCTAAAGATATTTTTGTGTATCCTTATGTAAAATTTGTTTTACTTACAGCTGTTTCCCTCAATCTAATCTCCCTTTTAGAATTACCACTCCTTCCTTCTCCCTCCCATTTCCCTGATGACTAAAATGTATTTTTGTACTGTGAGTGTGCATATGTGTGTGTATTCTTCCCTCCTTTGACCAATTTAGATGTCAAGTGCTCCCCCCTACCCCTCCTCTTTGTTTGTAGATGTCTACTTGTGTACCCTCATTACATTTCCCCTAGCCTTTCCCTCCCTGCCCCACTCAGTATATTCTTCTTCCCCTCTCTTTCTATACTTCTTTTAAGATCATGAAGACATGACAGAATTCCCAGCCCTTATTTAATTAGACTGCCTCTATGACCATTGATGATGACAGGGATCAGAAAGAACACATGTATCATCTCCTCATAATTGAATTTAAGTAGTTTATCATTGTTTA